TGACTTTGGTATATCATTTTTTTTTCAAGGATTTCAGAAACCTACTACCATCTCTCTGCACAGGGGACGTCACATCCATCTGGGGATCCATGCAGAGATTGAAATCCCCTGCCACAATAAAATTGCCTTTTTTTTAAATCCATTAACTTCCTCAGGGTATTTTTTAGGAATAAACATTTGCTAATGTACAGTCTATTTCCTGTAATTTTCCCTTCAGAAACAGAAATCTTCCTTCCGGATCTACCAATCTGTCTTCCAGCTTAAACCTTATATTTTTTGCAAAACCTATTGCCACTTCCTTGGCACGTTTAATTGGGGAATCTGCATAAAACCAAATTGGATAATATCTGGAATTTAATTTCACATTTGATTCTTGCACCAAATGTGTCTCCTGTAAAAAAAACCACTGAAGAATATCTATGTTGAATTTCTTTAGAAATCCCAAATCTCTTCCCAGAGCTATTTAACCCTTTAACATTATAAGTCACAAAGTGAATCTCTTCCATTCTTCTCCTCTTCCCCCCCATCTGTTCTCTCTTCCTCTTTTCCTCCACATCTTCCCCTTTGATCACTAGGATTTCTCCAGACTTATGATTCTCCCACTATTTTGCAGAGTCTTCAACTACATATCCCCTCCCCATACCCTCATCCCTCCCTCCCATTCCTCTCCCTCCCCTCGCCCCCTCCCCCCCCCCCCCATCTCCCTTTAGGCTTACATTTTGCCTATGAATCATTTGTGGTCCTAACCCCACCTTTGATTCAGCTTGTAAGGTGAAGCTCTGCCCATGAACTTTTCCCCAATAAGCGTGTCTCATCCTCCGTGTCCTGTCATACTCTAGTAAACTTCGAAGATCATAAGTGAGAGGCAGAAATGGAGGGAGAGAGAGAGAGAAAAAAAAGAGAGAAACCCCCCCACCCATCTTATTCCTCTTTACTATATCCTCCTTCTCTATTTCTCTTTAGAGCTATCTGCCTCCCTTTATTTTCTATAGCCCACATTTCTCCTTCTTCTTCCTCCCATCCAGGGATATTTATTTTCTGTATATCAAGTGTCTCACAAAAGTCTCTCAGATCTTCAGGAAATCTCAGTCTTGCTGAACGTCCATTTCTCCATCCGATCAAACACGCTGGAAACCCCCAGCTATATCGAACATTCTGTTTACTCATCTGTTCCAATAACGGTTTCAAAGATATCCTTCTTATTAATGTTTCTGCTGCTAAATCAGCAAAGATCTGTATATTTATTTATCCATATTTTATTGATGCTCTTCCTTTTATCTTCTTCCAAAGCTCTTCTTTATCCCGAAAAGTATGAAATTGCACTTATTACATCTCTTGGCTTTTCTTTTCTATCTTCTTGTATATATTTTTCCTATTCTATATGCTCCCTCCATTTTGAGAGGCTCTGTTATAGTTCTATCCATTATAGTATTCAGCATTCTCGTTATTATTCCCGTCAAATCTTCTCCTTGGGAGATCTCTGGAAAGCCTTGTATCCTTAGATTGCATCTCCTATCCCTATTCTCCTCATCTTCCAATTTACAGTCAGGTCCATAAATATTGGGACATAGACACAATTTTACCATTTTTGGCTCTATACACCTCCACAATGGATTTGAAATGAAACGAACATGATGTGCTTTAACTGCAGACTGTCAGCTTTAATTTGAGGGTATTTACATCTAAATCAGGTGAACGGTGTAGGAATTACAATAGTGTGCATATGTGCCTCCCACTTGTTAAGGGACCAAAAATAATGGGACAATTGGCTTCTCAGCTGTTCCATGGCCAGGTGTGTGTTATTCCCTCATTATCTCAATTACAATGAGCAGATAAAAGGTCCAGAGTTCATTCCAAGTGTGATATTTGCATTTGGAATCTGTTGCTGTCAACTCTCAAGATGAGATCCAAAGAGCTGTCACTATCAGTGAAGCAAGCCATCATTAGGCTGAAAAAACAAAACAAACCCATCAGAGAGATAGCAAAAATATTAGGCGTGGCCAAAACAACTGTTTGGAACATTTTTAAAAAGAAGGAACGCACCGGTGAGCTCAGCAACAGCAAAAGACCCGGAATACCACACAAAACAACTGTGGTGGATGACCGAAGAATTCTTTCCCTGGTGAAGAAAACACCCTTCACAACAGTTGGCCAGATCAAGAACACTCTCCAGGAGGTAGGTGTATGTGTGTCAAAGTCAACAATCAAGAGAAGACTTCACCAGAGTGAATACAGAGGGTTCACCACAAGATGTAAACCATTGGTGAGCCTCAAAAACAGGAAGGCCAGATTAGAGTTTGCCAAATGACATCTAAAAAAGCCTTCACAGTTCTGGAACAACATCCTATCGACAGATGAGACCAAGATCAACTTGTACCAGAGTGATGGGAAGAGAAGAGTATGGAGAAGGAAAGGAACTGCTCATGATCCTAAGCATACCACCTCATCAGTGAAGCATGGTGGTGGTAGTGTCATGGCGTGGCCAATGGAACTGGTTCTCTTGTATTTGTTGATGATGTGACTGCTGACAAAAGCAGCAGGATGAATTTTTAAGTGTTTCGGGCAATATTATCTGCTCATATTCAGCCAAATGCTTCAGAATTCATTGGACGCCGCTTCACAGTGCAGATGGACAATGACCCAAAGCATACTGCAAAAGCAACCAAAGAGTTTTTTAAGGGAAAGAAGTGGAATGTTATGCAATGGCCAAGTCAATCACCTGACCTGAATCCGATTGAGCATGCATTTCACTTGCTGAAGACAAAACTGAAGGGAAAATGCCCCAAGAACAAGCAGGAACTGAAGACAGTTGCAGTAGAGGCCTGGCAGAGCATCACCAGGGATGAATCCCAGCGTCTGGTGATGTCTATGCGTTCCAGACATCAGGCTGTAATTGACTGCAAAGGATTTGCAACCAAGTATTAAAAAGTGAGAGTTTGATTTATGATTAATATTCTGTCCCATTAGTTTTGGTCCCTTAAAAAGTGGGAGGCACATATGCAAACTGTTGTAATTCCTACACCGTTTACCTGATTTGGATGTAAATACCCTCAAATTAAAGCTGACAGTCTGCAGTTAAAGCACATCTTGTTCATTTCATTTCAAATCCATTGTGGTGGGGTATAGAGCCAAAAATTTTAGAATTGTGTCCATGTCCCAATATTTATGGACCTGGCTGTATATCCATTATCTCCTGCGCTCAAAGACTCAGATCAAACGGGCGTTAGTAACAAGCAGCGTGTTGTGTGTTCATCCGCTGGTGATCAGAGGTTGTGCAGCTCTATCATGAAGCTGGGGAAGCTTGATAAAACTGTAGAAGAAGATGAAAGAAAGAGCGCACAAACCTTGCGCATTACCTCAATAAATAGTGACTAATTTTATTATTAAAGGAAATATACTCACAAAGTGATGGTATAACAGGCATAAGTAACCATAATCCAAACAGGGTTACAGGTAAATCCAAAGGGGGGGGGTGAGGACTAACGCGTTTCGAAGGGTGCTCCCTTCTTCATCAGAGCTGGGTTGAGCAGTTAGAGACTTCAGTATGGCAGAGTTCCCATGGCAAGGAGATATTCAGCCACTGAGTGTCAGTATTACGGTAGTTCAGCCTGTTTACTTTCTTTCATCTTCTTCCAATTTATATAACAGATTTGTTTGTTCTTTTCTCATTTCCATCGCCCGTTTTTCTAATTTCTGTATAATTTGGGCATGTTTATCTAGTTTTTCTTCCGTCTCCTCCACCCTTGATATATATTTGCCCCAGGTCTTTGTGTAATTTCTCCAGTTCCTGTTTTAAGGATCTTTCAAGTCCTTTAAACATTTCTGCTATTTCTGCTTTAGTAGGCATCTGTGAGCTCTCCTCTTGTTCTTCTACTTTATCCATATCCACTTCTTCTTCCATATGTTGACTACTGTTAGCTATTCCCAGGGATAATCTGGAACATTCTCCACCGTTTTCCCTCTCACCTCTTACACTTATTCCCTATTGTCTCTCTGGTGTCTGTTTCTCCTGTGAGGGTATATTTTTTTTAATTGACCCTGTTTGGGAAGCTTTAGGCCCTCCTACCTTTGATACTTTGTTTTTCATGCTGTCAGGGACTATTTCAATTTTCCACGGTTCTGGCTTTGAGGGGGGTGTCTATTTTTGATTTGATATCAAAATTTGTTGTCTTCCATGGGTATCCCCCTCTCAGTTCTTTTCTTCCTTTTTCTCTCCCCCCACTACCGAACTCATCTACCCTGGTCCCATTCTTCTAGGTCTTCTAGGTTTTACATTGTCCTGCTTCTGATTTTCCTATAAGACCCCCTGGGTGAACCCCCTCCTCAGTTTAAACATATAGTTCAATACATACAATTCAGTTCCCATGCAATATATTAATCTCAGTACTTTTGCCGCTCTCACTCACCCTCTTGTCCCCAATACGGCTTTTCCCCCGTATGAGATCTTTGTCATATATGAAGAAAAAGGCTTCTCCGAAAAAACATTTCCCGCACTCCGAACAGGTATGCAACTTCTCCTCTGTGTAAGATCTTTGATGTGTGTGAAGACTGGGCTTCACTGAAAAGTATTTGCCGCACTCAGGACAGACATATGGCTTTTCACCTGTGTAAGATCTCTGATATATGAAAAGTCTAGACTTATCTGAGGAAACATTTCCTGCACTTAGAACAGGGATATAGCATCTTCCTCATGTGAGGTCTCTGATATATATGCAGGCTGGACTTCCGTGAAAAACATTTCCCGCACTTTGAGCAAGGGTATGGCTGCTCCCTCTTATGTTATTACTAGTATATATAAAAATAGGACTTACATGAAAAACATTTCCCGCACTCCAGACAGGTATGCAACTTATCCTCCGTGTAAGATCTCTGATATGTGTGAAGACTAAGCTTCACTGAAAAGTATTTCCCACACTCAGGACAGACATATGGCTTTTCACCTGTGTTAGATCTCTGATATATGTAAAGTCTAGTTTTGTCTAAGAAAACATTTCCCGCACTTAGAACAGGGATATAGCATCTTCCTCATGTGAGGTCTCTGATATATATGAAGGGTGGACTTCTGTGAAAAACATTTCCCGTACTCTGAATTAGGGTATGGCTGCTCCCTCTTGTATTATCACTGGTATATATAAAAATAGGACTTACATGAAAAACATTTCCCGCACTCGAAACAGGAATACTTCTCCCCCATGTGAGATCTCTGGTTTCTATAGAGATTGAACTTCTCTGAGAGACTTTCCCGCACTTTAGGACATCTCTTCCTTTAACAGACACCTGTTGTTAATTTCATTAACACCAAAGCAGCTGAAACTGATTAACAATCCCCTCTGTTACTTACCTGACCAGATCAATATCCCAGGAGTTTAATTGACTTGATGGTAGACTTCTGGTTAAAGTCTTCCTTTAATTTTTTTGAGCAGCATATGTATGCATGTATGTGTGTGATGGATGGATAGATATTATACAGGACTTATATAGCGCCAACAGTTTGCGCAGCGCTTTATAATATAAGGGAGACAGTACAATTACAATACATTTCAGTACAGAAGGAATAGGAGGGCCCGGCTCGTGGAGCTTACAATCTAAAGGAAGGGGGAGGTGATGCAAAAGGTGATAGCTGCGGAGGATGATCTGGTGGAAGTGATTCAAGTACAGTTCTTAGGTGGAGGTGGGGTAGGCTTCACTGAATAAGTGAGTTTTCAAAGATCGCCTAAAGGCAAACAGGGTGGGGGCTGACCGGACATACTATGGTAGGGAGTTCCAGAGGATGGGAGAGGCTCTGGAGAAGTCCTGGAGGCCAGCGTGGGAGGAGGTGATGAGGGAGCTAGAGAGGAAAATATGTTGGGAGGAGCGGAGTGGCCGATTTGGACGGTATCTGTGGATGAGGTTGGCGATATAGCTAGGGGCAGTGTTGTGGATGGCTTTGTAAGCTATGGTTAGTATTTTGAATTTTATACGTTGGGTTAGCGGAAGCCAATGAAGGGATTGGCAGAGGGGCAGCAGTCGCTGATCGGTTGGTAAGGTGTATGAGTCTAGCAGTAGCATTCATAATAGACTGAAGTGGGGATAGCCTGTGTAATGGTAAGCCAGTTACACAGGCTATCCCTGACAGCACAGTGGCTGAATGGTTAGCACTCCCCCCTAGGGTCGTCGGTTTATATCCCAACAACAGCACCACCTGCTTGGAATTTGCATGTTCTCCCTGTGCCTGTGCTGGTCTCCTCCAGATACTGATATCCAGATACTGATATTAATAGAAGCGGGGGATGGTGGTAAGGGTGATCCATTGGATCGGTGTCCGATTCCAACAAATCGAGAGGGGTTCTGGGGTGGGAGGGGTTTCTGGGTGGGAAATTTGCATACAAATTTGCATATTTTTGAATAATCACACACTTCTTGAGGAAAAGAGTTTGCAGATTAGAATGCAAATTAGGGTCACCATCATCCTTTGCAATCAGAACACTCCCTAATGTGCAACAACAAAAAAAGGAATATAGCATATGGGGAGAAAGAATGAAAATGGGTCTTAGTATACAAATTAACACTCTCCCTAATGTAGAATAACAAAAGGAGGATGGTATATGATGGGAAAAAAAAACAAAAACAAAAAAAAGCCAGTCTTTGGGGTTAAGGTATGGGCAGCACAGTGGTTAAATGGTTAGTACTTCTGCCTGGCAGCACACGGGTCGTTGGTTTGAATCCCCACCATGGCACTACCTGCCTGGAGTTTGCATGTTCTCCTTGTGCCTGTGTGGGTTTCCTCCCACACTCTAAAGACATGCCGGTAGGTGAATTGGTTCCTGTCTTAATTGGCCCTAGTATGTGTATGTATGAATGTGAGTTAGGGACCTTAGATTGTATGTCCCTTGAGGGTTAGGGACTGATGTAAATGTACAATATATATGTAAAGCACTGCGTAAAATTGATGGTGCTATATAAGTACCTGAAATAATAAATAAATAAAATTTAGGTCAGTGTGCTTGTGCCTTATCTTGGCCATAGGTAACAACTGGTGCCAATTCTCACTTCTCTGTCTTTTTGATCAAGTGTAGTATCTGTTCTTATCAGTGTCCAGTAGGGGCGCTCAGCCATCATACTTGCTTCTTGGTGAGGATGGTTGGCTGTATAGTATCCCTGCTGGAATGATGGGGGGGTTGGGGGTACTTGGTGGTCGACTTCGGCTAGCCACAAGGAAAGGGGTCCGCTAGGTCTTTTGGCTAGGTGGACCATGTGGAAACCTCAGTTCCTGTCAGGAGCCTCACGCCCCGGGGACCTTTGCGTTAGGGGGTGGACTAAATCACACCCCTAAGTGCACTTTTTTGTGTTGGTGTTTTGCACTTGTACTTTTTTTTTGTTCACTTACGGTTTTTCATTTTTTCGCACCTCCGCAGACTTAAAAAAAAAAAAACTGCTAACATCTGCTGGCAGCCTAAAGGGAACCCATGCTCTATCTTGGCACTCATTCACATCACACATTAACCACTTCCCATCCGGCCGTTGTATATAAACAGCTGGACGCTGGCAGTGCAGGAACGGGTGGCCATTTATAAATGGACTCCCCACCCCCTGCTTGTGCGCGCTCATCCGGACACAGTGAAACATCGATCGTTGTACGGGACCTCTGTGCGAGGTCCCGATCATGTGATCACTGATTGGTCAGTAGAGTATTAAGCAAGATGCTTACTACGTGTGAAATCTGTGAATGATTACAGAGGTCACATGGTACAAGGCTTTTCACAACAGCCTTGTACCATGTGACAAGCTGTGACCAATCACAGCTCACACAGAAGGAGAAATGATTGCTTTTACAGCCTTTATGGGTGTAAAAGCAATCAGTGTAAAAATAAATCTTCATAACCCCCCACAAATAGTACAGTGTCACCATGGTGACACTGTACTGCTAGGGTGACAATATGTAAAAAAAAAACAAAAAAAAACAAATATATAACAAAAAAAAGTACAAAAAAAATATATTTTTAAATGATAATTTTTGGTTATAAACTAATTTGCGTTGTTTTTTTTTAAAAACTGAATAAATTTTGGTCAAGATTTATGAAGAAAGATTATTTATTTGCAAAATTTTATAAGAAAAACACTTTTTTTAAAATGTTTTGACTTTTTAATTTATACAGCAAAAAAAATAAAAAATCCCAGTGGTGACTTAATACCACTAAAATAAAGTTTTATCTGTCTCAAAAAAATGCTAAAAAATTCATATGGGTACAGTGTTGCATGACTGCGCAATTGTCATTCAAAGTGTGATAGCACTGAAAAGCTGGGCAGGAAGGAGGTGAAAGTGTCCGGACTTGAAATGATTAATGTGCACCTAACACATGTGCTGCAATGGGTTGGAGAAACGAACTGCAGTGCTTGCTTTTTTTTTTTTGCTTGTTGCAATGTCTTGATGGGTGTTGTGATACATTCATGTGAGCTGTACAAAATGATTTGGTGTGAAGTGGATACATTGGGGTTGATTTACTAAAGGCAAATAGACTGTGCACTTCAGAAGTGTAGGTGCATTCTGCTAAAGCAGAGATTGGTAAATGAGCGGAAGCTCTGCTGACTTCTATCATCCAATCCTGTGCAAGCAGAAATGCTGTGTGTTTTTCCTTGCATGTGATTGGATATTCTTTGTAAATGACGCTTTATCTCATTTACTAAGCTCTGGGGCTCATTTACTAAGCACTTTCAAAGTGCACATTCTATTTGCCTTTAGTAAATCAAACCCATAGTCAGCCATAGTATTTGCTGTGGCCTATTGGCTCAGCTCAATGTACTAGGTGTGAATGAGCCTTATTGTTTGGAATGAAGGATTCTGCCTAATCTGCAAACACCACAAGACACCCACTGTTCCATTTATTACCTAGAAAAGCTCCTGTGTTTCCTCTCTGATTTAGTTTCACAATGTTACTGGGGCCTTATTTCCTGTGAGTTAAAATGTAACTCTGGGCAAAATAAAAATTACATATGATGTAGCCTGTCAGTGCAATTAGCACAGCAGGTTTTGTTTTTCTGACTCCCCCCCCCCCCCCCAATACCTTTAACATTTTATTAATGGTTGATCCCATCAGTAGATCGTTTTTTTTTCCCCCACTTCCTTAACCACTTCAAGTCCGGACACTTTCACCCCCTTCCTGTCCAAGCCAATTTTCAGCTTTCAGCGCTATCACAGTTTGAATGACAATTGCGCGGTCATGCAGCACTGTACCCATAAGAATTTTTTAGCATTTTTTTGAGACAGATAAAGCTTTATTTTGGTGGTATTTATTTACCACTGGGATTTTTATTTTTTTTTTGCTATATAAATGAAAAAGTCAAAACATTTTGAAAAAAGTGTTTTTCTTATAAAAATTTGCAAATAAATAATCTTTCTTCATAAATCTTGGCCAAAATGTATTCAGCTATCTTTTTAGTAAAAAAAAATAAAATAAAATAACCCAAATTAGTTTATAACCAAAAATACACCCATAAAGGCTGTAAATGCAATAATTTCTCCTCTCTGGCAGCATTCCTGCAGCCACTGAGTAATACTGTGAGAGCTGCGATTGGTCACAGCTTGTCACATGGTACAAGGCTGTTGTGAATAACCTTATACCATGTGACCTCTCTGATCATTCACAGATTTCATTAGTAGTAAGCAATGATGTAGTAAGCAACAGATTTCACTAGTAGTAAACAAAGTGACATCTTGCATACTACTCTTCATGTAATCACTGATTGGCCAATCAGTGATCACATGATCGGGACCTCACACAGAGGTCCCGTACAGCGATCAGTGTTCCGCTGTGTCCGGAGGACAAAGCAGGCACTGGATTGCGGTGCTGCAGTGCTCCCAGTCCATGCCTCTGTTATTGCATGGTCCACGGTTCAGATTTTAGGTCCTTCTCAGCCCTGACAAAGGGGGACTCCTACAGCACCTGAAACACGTTGACTTTCCTATGAAGATTTTTAAATAAAATCCCATTCTGAACTTTTAGTGGAGGAGTGGTACTTCTATTACTTTTTCTATATGGTATTGCACATCTTTTTATTTTATTTTGCCCACAGTCACATCAACCTATGCTTGGAGGCC